CTGTCTGCCCTAGTGAGTTTCTTATTCTAAGTCAGTATGCATAGAGCTCAGGGCTGTATCTCCCTTCTCTAGTGATATGGTTTGGATCTGTGTCCCCATCAAATCTCATGTTGCAATGTAATCCGCAGTGCTGGAGGTGGGGCCTGGTAGAAGGTGATTGGATCATGAGGGCAGTTTCTCACTAATGATTTAACACCATCCCTCCTGGTGCTGTTGTTGTGATAGTGAGTCATCGCAAGGTCTGGTTATTAAAAAGTGTGTGGCACCCCTCTTCCTGCTCTGGCCATGTGAAGTGCTGACCTCCCTTCCCTTTCTGCCATGATTGTAAGTTTCCTGCAGCCTCTCCAGAAGCCGAACAGATGCCACCATGCTTCCTGTACAATCTGCAGAATCATGAGCCAATTAAACCTCCTTTCTTTATAAATTACCCAGTCTCAGGTATTTCTTTATAGCAGTGTAAGAACCAACTGATACATCTAGGAAGGACAGTAACAACAGAATCAATCCACTTTTGCTATCTGCTTTAAACCAAACTATTCTCTGCTGAACAGGAAAATTGAAGCAGAAATAGAGAATGGAAAGAAAAGAGACAACTAAAACACAGTCAAGGTGTGTACAGGTCAGTGAAAAAGGAGAGAAATGATGGGCTTTCTAAGTTACTTTTCTTAATGTGTATTACACCACATTCAATTGGATATGTTAGTATCATCGGCGCTCTTCCAAAAATCAATAATTACCTATCTGTAGTAGATTTCCTATACGAGCCTTCTTTTCTTCCTTTTTTCATTTCTAAAATCCTAGTTAATTCCATGACTCCCAGTCCCGAGCTGTTATCACATCCATCCCTCTGTGTACAACGTGGCCAGCTTACACTTTCCTAAAGTCTGGGTTTAGTCATGTTACTACTCCTCTAAAACATTGTAATGGCTTCCTATCGCTCTTATCCTTAGCTTACAATTCAGGGCTCTGTGTATCCTGGTCCTAACCAACTTAGAAGAGCTACCACAATACTGATCTTAAACCTGGGTCAATCGAGACCACTCTTCCTCCTGAAGAAACAGTGTGCTTTTCCTCCACATTTAGCCCAGGCATATCTAGTTCCACTCCACTGTGGCCAACAGCAGAACACAGCTATCAAAAAAGAAGAGACACTGAGCCGGGAGCTCATGCATATTATCCCAGTGACTCCAGAGGCTAAAGTGGAAGGATGGCTTGAGCCCAGGAACTCAAGGCTGCAGTGAGCTATGATGTCGCCTCTGCACTCCAGGCTCGGTGGAGTGAGACCTTGTCTCAAAAAGAAAAAAAAAAGGAGGGAGGATCTTGTTCCGTTCTTTACTGCATCCTCAGTACCTAGAAGTAGACCTGTCACTTTGTAGATGCTGAATGACATTTTTCTGTTGAGTAAGTACATGGAACAGGCCATTTCCTCTAACTGAAAAGTTCTCTGTCCAGGTCTTTAGTTCTCAAAATCTTTCTGTCTCAATAGGCGCTGTGGCACTTCTTAGAGCATGGCACTGAAACTCTTTGACACACCACTCATTGAGACTTGTCATAATGGCCCTTCCCCTTGAATCAGGGCATCAGGATTGCTGGACCAATAAAACACAATGGAAGTAACACTGCAATAGTTATAAAAGTATGCCCACCAAATTCTTTAATACTCCTCCCTTGGGGTAAAACCTGTTTCCTTCCCCTTATCTGTGGGCTGAACTTAGTAACCTGCTTCTAGTCACTAAACAGAAGTGATGCTGTGTGACTTTGGAGGCTAAGTCCTAACAAGGCACTGTGGCTTCTGTCATACTTGCTCTCACTCCCTCAGATCACTGGCTCTGAGGAAATCAGCTGCTATGTGGTGAGAGGTCCTACGGCACAGCTCATGTGGCAAGGAACTGAAGCCGTCTGTTAACAACACATGCATGAGCTTGGAAGCAGATCTTTCAGCCCCAGCCAAGCCTTTAGATGACTGCATCTCCAAAGTGTATCTTAACAGCAAACTTATAAGACCCTGAGTCAGAGCCACCCAGCTAAGTCACTCTGGACCCCTGTCTCTCAGAGACTATGACAGATAAAGGTTTTTTGTTTCAAGCTATGAAGTTTGGGGAGCTACTTATTACACATTAATAGAGATGCATGCCAGTTTCTAAATTCAGACCTTAAGAAATAAGAAATTTCCATTTCCTTCCTCTTGGGACATTTGCGCTTGGAACCTAGCAGCCATGTTGTAAGGAAGCCAAGCTGCCTATAGTGAGGCCCACATAGAGAGCACTCAACAGCCAGACCATATGTATGCACCATCTTAGATGTGGATTCTCCCACCCCAGTTGAGCCACCCCAGCTGTCCCTGCCAAGCCCTGCCCAAATTGTATTTTCAAGGGCAAAATTAATAACTGGTAATATTTTAAGTCACTACATCTTGAGGTGGTTTATTATGCAGCAGTAGATAATGAAAACAGATTTCGGTATCTGGATATGAGGTCCTGTTTTAACAAAACCCTAAAATATGAGGCACTGGTTTGGGACTTGGCAGTAGGCAGAAGCCTCATCAGCCTCAGTGAAGGCTAAAAAAAAGTAAGAAAAATATATCAGAAGCTAAAAAAAAAAAAAAAAGAGAGAGAGAGATCCTTTTAGTGGTAAAAAGTCACTTAGTTATCAACTGAGGCAATATAAAAAAGGGTCCCTCATAGTAGTACTCAGATATCCAAGGAGATTTCCAAGCAGAATACAGAAAGGCCCACTGACTTCTTGTCACTGCCTGTGATGAAATGCAAGATAAGAGAGATGAATTAAAGAATAAACTGCTAAATGTAAAGGAAGTAGATCTGGCCAGGTTTGAAAATGAAAACTAATTTCTTATTCCTGCTCTCTGTAAATGGCAAATAATTCTCAAATTAAGAAAGGGCCTCAGGTCATACATCATATTCAGGATGGATGTATTAGTCCTTTCTCACACTGCAATAACGATACCACCTGAGATTGGCTAATTTATAAACAAAACAGGTTTAGTTGACTCACAGTTCCACATGGCTAGGGAGGCCTCAGGAAACTTACAATCATGACGGAAGGCAAGGGGAAAGCAAGGCACCTTCTTCACAAGGTGGCAGGAAAAACGAATGCAGAAAGAACTACCAAACTCTTGTTAAACCATCAGCTCTCATGAGAACTCACTCACTATCATGCGAACAGAATGGAGGAATCCACCCTCATGATCCAGTCACCTCCCACCAGGTCCTTCCCTTGAACATGGGGATTACAATTTCAGATGAGATTTGGGTGAAGACACAGACCCAAACCATATCAACTGGTCTATAAATCTAAGAGAGCAAATCATAGACACCTGAAGACAGACAAAAGACCCCCTAAAAATCTTAAGGATCTCCCTTAGGATCCTCTCCATCCAATAGGGCTGTTAAGACTCTTACCTAATGGAGTGAGGGTTTGCTCATTCTGAAGATATTGATATAGAAGGAAACAGAAATAGCATTACATGCAGGAGTTGCAAAAAAATGTTGACCACCTTATCACTAGTATCACCCATGGGGACAGCCCACTGACTGAAAGGCCCATCCACCAAAGAGCATACACAGTAATGAGAAAATAGTGAAGTCAAAAGGTCAGTTACCAGGAGGATTAATTCAGGTCATCCTTCAGCAGATCGAACTTCACCAATTTTCTCAGCTGACCAAAGAGCTAAAACAGGAAACCCACCCCATATGCAGTATATCATCTTAAGAATTTTCCCTGGAATCTGAAGAGAGACTTGTTCACATTGGAGTGAGGCTATCTCTTCTGCCTAAATTATACATTTCTTCCCTTGGGCTTAATACAGACTCATCCACCTGTATTCCTGGGAAAGATATATTGATTAAGAAAGGCAAAAACCCTCATTCAGAAGCAAGACTGTGTTCAATCTTTCTTTTTTTTTTTCTCTCAGCAAATGGGCCCATAATTTCAAGTAAATGGCACATGAAGCTGTTAAGAGCCAAGCCCCACATGCGCACTGCCATGTTCTACTGGTTGTAAATAATATGCATGACTGCACCAGGGACCAAATTGCTCGTTAGCTGCCAACATTAGTTGTTTAATGATCTGAGGAGCAGAAGCTGCCAATTACTATATTCCTTCTTAAAATACCATTTAAAACCCATACATGTAATTATTATACCTTTTCGTTAAATTTTTATGATTCCTTTGAAGCTGATGAGCTGTGGGTTCATTCAACCTATATCAAATTCAGAGAACGTTTCAAAGCTGTCATTACGTAACTGGGTTAAAAATCCATATATAACACACCAAGAGAGGGCCTGGACTTTAGCCCCAGATCTGGCACTGCTTAGCTAACTGAGTGACCATAACCAAAGGACACATCCTGTGGCCTCAACCTCCCCACCTATTCATTGGGATCATGGTCCCTCTCCTGCCTACCAAATATAGCAATTGTGAAAATAAAATAACAAATATAGAAGAGTGTTTGAAAGCACTATCAAATGATAGGGTAAGATACTGTTTTCAGAGACTCTTGTTTTCAAGCTACTAATTAATGGAAAAATCGATTCCTTAATAACTGCCAGAGCAAGAGGGAACACAATTCTTTGAGGATTCTCTAAGTTTCTATGACTAAATTTTTCAACTGAGAACATCAATTTTTCTTATGCTACCATCTTTCCCACTGCAGGAAGGGTGTGATCACACCTAATAATCCTCATTCAGCATTTACAGATACACAATGCTATATACACATCTGCTAGAACCATATGGCACACACAGTACATTTAGTCTCTAAACTCTTCAAGAAACAGGAACTAGAAGTCTCAAACATGGTACTCACATCAACAACTTGTGCTATATTATGTGTGCATTAGTGGAGCTCCCCAGCAAATCTTTCAGATGTCTGAGAATAACATGATAACAGTGGAAGGTTCATCAAGGACAAAACACCACATGCTGGCTGGCCGTCATTATTTTAGTTGGACAGCCTCAACGTCTCCTACACTGCCAGTTACCTGATATGGCATGCATTTTGGCTTCAAGCAAGGCTGGTAGTTGGGTTTCAATATCGTTAACTTTCTTTCTCAGGGTGCTGCAGAATTTCTCACTCATACACACCTAGGGGGAGAGAAATGGCCAGGAATCATTATTTATTCAGCTAAAAATCAGAAGGCAGTGCAACAGCCAGGTCAGAGATTTCTGGGTTTATAAGTACTTAAGAGAGGTGATGAAGAGTGATTGGAGGGTAATGCTCAGAAAGCAAGCAATGGAAAAAGAAAAACAAAGAAGAGAGGGAGTGAGGAAGGGAGAAAGGGAGGGAGGGAGGGAGGGAGGGAAAAAAGAAAGAAAGGGAGGGAGGATGGGAAAAGGAAAGAAGGGAAGGAGGGAAGAAGGAAGGGAAGAAGGGAGAGAAGAAGGGAGAAGGAAGAAAGAGAGAAAAGGAAAGAAGGAAGGAAGGGGGAGGGAAGGAAGGGAGGGAGGGAGGGAAAAAAGAAAAGGAGGAAGGGAAGAAGGGAGAGAAGAAGGGAGAAGAAAGAGAGAAAAGGGAAGGAAGGAGAAAGGAAGGAAGGGAGGGAAGGAGGGGAAAAAGAAAGGAGGAAGGGAAGAAGGAGAGAAGAAGGGAGAAGGAAGACAGAGAGAGAAAAGGGAAGGAAGGGAGGGAAGGGGGCAGGAAAAGGAGGGAAGAATGGAGAAGGGAAGAAGGAAGGGAAGAGAGAATGGAGGAAAAAGAACAAAAACAACTGTGAGCAATGATGTATTCCAACCATATGCCCATTGCCCCATACCCAATTACGAAGTTTATATGAGCTAACCCAACAGAGAGCAACCACAAGCTAAAACAACTGCAGCCCGTCTGCCTCCGGCCTCCTACAGGCCTTCGCTGAATCCTCCCGTCCGCATCACTTCTGTAGTCCCAGGTGGTTTCGCTCACTCACACCTTTTGGGGCTCTCTGCCCAGTCCCTGCCTGGGAGGAAAGGCCTTGCTGATGACCCACCCGAAATAGCAGCCTCCCTTGGTCCTCCCTCCCCTTGAAGTTCTTCCACAGTTTCCTCTCACATGACACACCATGTGCTTCTAGTCCATTGTTTCCATATTGTCTCTCTGCTGGAATGTGAGCTCTATGTGAGCAGGGACTTTGATCCATGCCTGGCACATAGTATGCAGTGAATAAAAAGATATGGCCATTGAGATGAAGGTCAGAGCTGCAAGCTCGGTTTAATTACTAGTATTAGTAGACAGTTTAGAGAAACTTTGAAGGCAGATAGTTACTTGCTGGCAAGTCAGATTTGACAAATAGACAAGTTACTCTCAGTGAGGTTTGAGAGTTTTATCATGTATTTTCCCATGACACTCCAAATACATCCTACATTTTTTTTTCCATTGGTTCTTCAAAAATAGCAAAAAAAAAAAAAACCCTAATTTCTTTTTCCAAATGTCTTTCGGTTATCTTTTATTTTCTTGGAGGCCAAAACATCACATTTGTTTTTCTCGTTTTGAAGGCTAAAACCTCATATGCCAGCGTTACCTAGACTCAGATTAATGAGCTACCTAGAAAAATGGAATTTCCCATAAGAATCTAGGGTTTGTTGGACACCACCAGCCTTAAATGTTTTCTTATATCAGTCTGCTGAATTGAGATTATTTTTAGAGTCAAAGCAGACTTCACCCATCCTGCCTAAAATACTCCACTATTTCTCTCATGGACTTCCATATGTTCTATTCAGTGGCTGTAACTTTCCAACATCTTTTTTATAAAAATCATTCTCTGGATGAAGACGACAGTTTGGTAGCCTCTAAACCAAAGCCTTCCCTGGTGGTGTTGGGCAGCCACATGTCCAAAGTAATTAATTCTGGGATCCTTTCAGCAGTCTTGAGACTTTTCAGGGTGTCAGAACCAGAGTTAAAAGTAAGAGATCCCTTCCCCCACCAAGTCTTGGGTTGACTCAAACCCAGAAGACTGGCGCATCCCATGCTATCCATTTAATAATGTCCTCTGAGGTCTGAGGGCATTTCCATCAACTCTGTAACACCAGCTATAATACTTATGTCTCAGTCAATCTATGTCCAATATTTCTGATTTTAGTGAACAGTATCTGTTCATCATAATTGGGTCAGTTTCTCCTTTGTTGAGCAAATCTATCCTTCAAGCTGTCATTGTTAATATGAAACAACCTTTCTGAATCTTCTTATTAAATTGCAATGTTCCTTCTTTCAGGCTCTGCTGGATGTAATCTAATATCTACCAATCTCCAGATATTCCATCTATTTCCAACTGTTTCTTCTATCTCATTTATCCCTTAATTACCTTTGGTTTGGGTAACCCATAAGAGTTGAAGAAATATAATGAGTGCAAGGAAGGTTTCAGTTCTTTCTGGGACAGGAATCTAAAGAATATCAGGGGTGTGTGTGTGTGTGTGTGTAACACACTAGAGAAAGAAAGCTATGTCAAGCTGAGACCTTTACCCCATGGTCACTGGTCAATCTAGTTTAAAGTAAAGGGAAAGGTGTTTTGTGTGACTGGATAGTTTTGTTTTAATTCTCTGTGGACTAATATAACCCCCTACCCACAACACACACACACACACACACACACACACACACACACACACACAGACACGACTGTGCACACATACCTGTCCACCTATCCACACACACATACACATCCCCAGAAAAATCTGTGTATCCTTTTTATTTATAAATAAAATTAGATCCCAAGGAACTCATTATCAAATGGGGCTTTTATACTTATGTTTTAAAATCAAAGACATGAGTTCCTTAATTTTATGGAAAAGTAAAGTAATTATAAAGTTTTATAAATGTAGTAGAGAGGGTATGTGCAATGGTCAGGAATGTTTTTATCCCCCCAGAATCATACGTTGAAATTCTAACTCCCAAGGTGATGGCATTAGGAGGTGGGGGATTTGGGAGGTGATCAGGTCATGAAAATAGAGTCCCCATGAAGGGGATTAGTACCCTTATAAAGAAGCTCCAGAGGCCAGGTGCAGTGACTTATGCCTATAATTCCAGCACTTTGGGAAGCTGAAGCAGGTGGATCACAAGGTCAAGAGATGGAGACCATCCTGACCAACATGGTGAAACCCCAACTTTACTAAAAATATAAAAATCAGCTGGGCATGGTGTGCGTGCCTGTAGTCTCAGCTACTCTGGAGGCTGAAGCAAGAGAATCACTTGAACCTGGGAGGCGGAGATTGCAGTGAGCTGATATAGCGCCACTGCACTCTAGCCTGGTGACAGAGTGAAACTCCATCTCAAAAATAAAAAGAAGCCCCAGAAACCCCATTTTGCCCTCTTCTTCCATCCAGAAATACAACAAGAAGTCGGTGGTCTACAGCCTGGAAGAGGGCCTCTCACCAGAACTTAGCCATGCTGCTACTCTCATCTCAGACTTCCAGACTTCAAAGTGATGAGAATTAAATTTCTGTTGTTTATAAGCTACCCCATCTATGGTACTTGCTTATAGCAACTCAAACAGAGTAAGACTGTATGCAAACAAAGCAAATCATTTTCGAAATTTGGGAAAATCTAAGATCTTTAACACTAGTTGGAAATTATCAACAAATCCTCATGTTGGGTGCATATCAGTATATGTGTGTATCCACAATATACAGTGTCATAAACACACACATATAAGCACCATCTCATTATATGATAGGCACACCTGTATCCTCAATGTTGGTGTACAGAGGGATTCATATTACACATACAGTATGTTCTGAAGATAATCAATAAACTCAGACCCAAGACAGTCTTCCCACCTTTTAATTCTTCATAGAAATCAGAAAGCACCTGATAAACAGTAGAAAATGTAGGAGCGGCCACGTGCGGTGGCTCATGCCTGCAATCCTAAATTTGACAGACTGAGACAGGAGGATAGCTTGAGCTCAGAAGTTCAAGACCAGCCTGGGCAACAAAGCAAGGCCTTGTCTCTACTAAAAATCAAAAAAAGTTTAGCTGGGCATGGTAGCATATGTCTGTAGTCCCAGCTACTTGGGAGGCTGAGGCAGGAGGATGACCTGAGCCCAGGAGATCAAGGGTGCAATTAGCTGTGATCGTGCCATTACACTCCAGCCTGGGTAACAGAGCCTTTGAGTGAGCAGAGCAGAATTCAAGAATTTCTGGGTCCCTGGCTCTAGTGGTGTCTTATGGGTACCATTTGTTCCTAACAGGAAGCTCTCTTTGTATGCAAGTTATAATTATTCATCAAACCTGTGGCTCTGTGACTTTTAGCAAAATCATTGGGTGTTGTTTTCAGAAATAAATTAGATACAGAAATGGAGAAAATGCACAGAGTAACTCTAGACATTTTTGCCAACAACACATCCCTGATTTCAGCTTAGCTGCAGTGATCTCTTGACATGTTTCCTGATCTAGGGTCCAAGACTTTCTTTCCCTGGGCACAGAGACTGGAAGAGAGTCATTCCAGGCCAGCAGGCTCTCAGCTGTGTTGTTCTCTGCTCAGCAAGGTGTACTTTTTACATTTTGACCATCGTACAACAATCCCTACTGCAAATAATGAATGATTCATACCCAGTTCTCTGCTACAACATTTAGTCATAATTCACAGAGAAATTGATGCTGTTTCTCAGTCTGCCAATAACTCAGCCAGGTATAAATACATAGGGAACGGCTTTTGTTTTGTAAACTGTGTTTATCCTAACTAATGAGGACATTGACTATTTAATTTAATTACCTGTGTTCTCAGGGAATAATGAAGAAGTATTCTGTCTGTACACAAACCAAGGTCTTGCTATGGCAATATAAATGATGGATAAAGTAGGCAAAATGATTGTCAAGCCAACTGAAAAGCTTTAAAGAACAACAACAAAAAAAAAAAAAAAAAAAAAAAAACAGCCATTGACTACTTCATTTGTGAGGAAACTAGACATTGCCCTCCTGGGAAGAAAAGTAATTAATTTCTCAAATTACTACCATCTTGAAAGCATTTTTTTTTCCCACACTGGGAAGCAATGGTGCAATCTTGGCTCACTGCAACAACCACCACCCAGGTTAAAAAGATTCTCCCACCTCAACCTCCCAAGTAGCTGGGATTACAGGCACCTGCCACCACACCCAGCTAATTTTTGTATTTTTAGGAGAGACAGGGTTTCGTCATGTTGGTCAGGCTGTTCTCAAACTCCTGACCTCAGGTGATCCGCCCCCTTCGGCCTCCCAAAGTGCTGGGACTACAGGCATGAGCCACTTCACCCAGCCCGGAATGCATTTTTAAGCAATGACTCAATATGCATAGTGACAGTCCTTTTCCAGTCCCTAAATTGACAGCTCGTTTTGCAGCAAAGTCCAACCCTGTCCATTTCTGGGCTGTCCACAAGTCGAGACCTCCACTATGACAGCAGCACTCTCTCCTGGCTCTTTTAATTCATCATCGGGCCTGCAAAATCTACATTTTTTTCCTGAAGCTAGGTATTCTATGATCTAGTGGTAAATCAAGTCAAAGGAAAACCTCATAGGCTTCTTTGGAAAATGGGAGTATAAAGGTACTTACCTTGGTAGTGATTTCTTGAAGTGACAATTTGAGGGATTTTATTCTTTCCTGGAGGCTGGAAGAATTAAAAAGAGAACATTGGTCTTCTTGGTAACCATAGTTCAATACCACTACAGTTAGGAACACTGCAGAGAGGGACCCTTCCACTGGTCTGATGGCTGAAGAAGCACAGGAGGAAAAATGCCATGCTGGTTCCATTTGGCTATGGAATAAATATGATGCCAGGAAGCAGACCTTTCCTCCCTTATTATAATTTATTAAAACTAGTGTTATAATCTTATGCTGAGAGTGCACATCTACCTGATAATAGGAAGAACAGCCAAGTTGTGCTCCTGGCAGCAAAGGATTAAAATCTGCATTCCTATAACCATCTTCCCAGACAGAAGGTCTACACTGAGTAGTGTCTCACCTGCAGGGAATCAGAGAGTATCTATTTGGGTATATCATGCAATTCAGTACACCCAGTGCCCTCTGCATCCGGCACTGACATAGAGCATGAAGGAGAGACACATACTTAAAGTGTGTCTGAAATAGCACCCTTAGGCTCCTCCTGCTTCCCTTTTCTCCTTAGCACTTTTCACCTGGACACATTTATTTACTCATGTAATTTCTGTCTCTCTCCCCCACTAGAACTTAAGTTCCACGAAGGCAGCGACTGTCTTTTGTGTTCACTCCTGCATCCCCAGTGCTAAGCAAATTCCTGGAGCTTGTTAGTAAGCCCTCAGTCAATAGCTGTAGAGGGAATGAATCAATACAATTAAGACTCAGATCTTATTCTGAAGGTTGTTACCTCGTGGAGAAGAAACACATGCATGCAATTCACTATAATATAAAGCCAGAGGAAAAAATTACTATAAGGGGAATAGAAAACCAATACTAGGAGAAAAGTGCTACATAAAAGCTGTCACCAGGCAGAATATTGTCTGCCTTGAGCAATGGAGACAATAACTTGTAGAGCAATTTAGAACTAGGAGATTGGTGGGAATGCTTACCGAAAGAGGTGAAAAGTGAACTGGGCTTCCAAGAAAAAAAAGAAAGGAGAATGAAATTCTAGTGAGAAGATAAATCTAACTGGAGCAAATGATTCTCACAGGTGAGTTGTGAAAAACAAAGTTAAACAGGGCAATGACTATTTCTGGTAGGAAAGGAGAGGGAAGGATGGGGTAGGGCCTGTCTGTATCTAAAATGTTTGCCTATTTATTTAGTTAGGGTTCAGGCACGGTGGCTCATGCTATAATCCCAGCACTTTGGGAGGCAGAGGCTGGTGGATCACCTGAGGTCAGGAGTTCAAGACCAGCCTGGCCAACATGGTGAAACCCTCATCTCTACAAAAATTTTAAAAAATTAGCCAGGCATGGTAGCATGCACCTATACTCCCAGCTATGCTGGAGGCTGAGGCAGGAGAATTGCTTGAACCCAGGAGACTTAATTGGAGTAAGCTGAGATCATGCCACTGCACTCCAGCCTGGGCAACTCCATCTCCAAAAAAGTAATATTAATAATAATAAATTTATTTACTAGGGAAATAAAATCAAAATAAAATGGAGCAAATTCTGCTATTTGTTTAAATTTTAATGGTGGGTAAATGAGTAACTGTTGTGTTTTTAAATATCTTTGAAATATTTACAATTAAAAACTATTCCTTACATTTTCATTTTAAAAAATCTTTTCTTGTTTGCTTGCAAGAAAAGATTTTTTTTAATGAAAATGTAAGGAATAGTTTACTTACATTGAATTAGTAATTTGTTACTTAGGAATTGCTACACATAACTTCACTTAAATTATGGATTTTCATAATCAGTAAATTGTGATTTATACACACGGTGGCCAGAATTATGGGATAAATGTATACAGTTACTTTAATAAAGAACGCCTGTTTTCAGCGCTAAAAAAAAAAAAAAAAAAAGAAAAGAAAGAAAGATCAAGGGCAAGTGCTAGTCGGTATTAAATGCCAAGCTAAGGAGTTTTGAGTTCTTTTTTTTTTTTTTTTTTTTTTTTTTTTGGAGATGGAGTTTCGCTCTTGTTACCCAGGCTGGAGTGCAATGGCACGATCTCGGCTCACCGCAACCTCCGTCTCCTGGGTTCAGGCAATTCTCCTGCCTCAGCCTCCTGAGTAGCTGGGATTACAGGCACGTGCCACCATGCCCAGCTAATTTTTTGTATCTTTAGTAGAGACGGGGTTTCACCTTGTTGACCAGGATGGTCTCGATCTCTCGACCTCGTGATCCGCCCGCCTCGCCCTCCCAAAGTGCTGGGATTACAGGCTTGAGCCACCGCGCCCAGCTAGGAGTTTTGAGTTCTATCCCTCAAGCAATGAGAAATCATTCAGTTTTTCAGCAAAAGAACAATATGAAAGAAACGTTTTCATTTTTTAGAAAAACAGTCGGGCGGCACGATGAGAGATGATTTGGAGGAAGAAAGTCCGAATGTGACAAAACCGGGCGGGCCCCTTCAGCAGTGCAAGCCAGGCATGAGGTGCACGGGCCTATTAGGGCGATACAGGTCAGAAACGGGAGGGCGGAGCAGGACTGGAGGACATGGATGCTCAGAGCAGTGAGGACATCCACTCTAGAGTTTTCCACTCTTTCATGCATTCATGAACTCATTCATTCTTCACATATCTGTCTACTGGGCACCAAATAAGCTAGGAACTTGGATCATGAAGACCTGGTTCCTGCCCTTAACCACTTCTGCTAGAAATGCCAGAGAGTGTTACAGGTGCTAGAAGAGGAGTGATTACTTGATTAAATGAGGACCTGCAAAAGCAAAGGTCAAGGTTTCTGGGGTATGCGTGGGGAGGGGAAGGGAAGGGGTGCAGAAGGTCAAGAAATCTTATACCAGGGTTGCCAAGTATCAGACCTAAGCTAAGCTGTTAATTTGCTGATTTTTGTTTGTTCTTCAACTTAAGAACTTTTTTTTTTTTCTTTTTTTTTTGAGACAGAGTCTTGCTCTGTCGCTAGGCTGGAGTGCAGTGGCATGATGATCTCGGCTTACTGCAATCTCTGCTTCATGGATTCAAGTGATTCTCCTGCCTCAGCCTCCTGAGTAGCTGGTACTATAGGCATGCACCACCTGTACCCGGCTAAATTTTTGTATTTTAGTAGAGACACGGTTTCAGTATGTTGGCCAGGATGGTCTCAGTCTCCTGACCTCATGATCTGCCTGCCTCAGCCTCCCAAAATGCTGGGATTACAGGCATGAGCCACTGCGCCTGACCAAGAACTATCTTTTGATGTTACCACATCCACCAATTTGTCTTTTCTGAGTATAAGCAAATTTGTTTCCATTGTAAATACCTGGGAACTGGTGCAGGTCCATGCTAGTCAGTCATTACCACTTTAGACCTACTTTCAACAGAGAAGGGTTTTCCAGTCCAGCTGAGATCAACCCAAATGGAGGAAGTGAGGGCTGACAGAAGGCAGGGCACGTGACACTAAACTGTTCCAAATTCAGGAGTTGCCATCTGACAAAAATTAGCGTACTCAGTGGGAACAGCGGAAAACAACATTTAGAATCCTGCCTGGAGAATTCTAGACTCTGGCTGGCTGGGGATCAGATCTTTTGAGAGAAGATAAGGCAGAGTGTCACACAGACATGCAGACTGGGGCAGATGAAACCACTTGAGGTGGTGGGGAGAAATGAACAGAGGGCATCGAACATGGACCCGGTCTGGTTCTGCCTCTGATTCTAGTAGCAGCACCAGCTTTGGGTGGCTAATGCCTGCTGTCCAAACTGAAAACCTTCCTTGGGCAGAAATGCCTTTTCCCTTGCTGGGCTCATGGGATTCTATTCAACAAATAAATGTTTAATAAATGGTTCACCACATCATTGAACCATTATCAGCATTTAATAGTATATTATAAGTAGGCATTCCCAACCACACACAGATTAGTTCATGCTTCATGGGTTCAAGTGATTCTCCTGCCTCAGCCTCCTGAGTAGCTGGGACTATAGGCACGCACCGCCATGCCTGGCTAAATTTTTGTATTTTAGCAATTCAGACAGTTAGTAGATCCTTTTACTATTACTGAAATTTTAGCTGACCAAAACAGCAGTGCCTTTAGCTAAAGCCCAACATATCACATAAAAAGTAGGTCAAGCACCGTCTTTCCAGGCCTTGACACAGTTCCCTGGTCTGGGCTCAGATCTGACCCTATCTCAGAAAGAAAATTAGTCTCCTCTCAGATATCCATGTTAGAGGAAGGAGGCAGTGATGCAGATAATTAAATACATTGTTTTATATTTAATTTGATTTATGTTTAATTTATGCTATATTCCTTTTTGCCACAAATTTACCTTCCCAATTATGTTTTCCTCGGGCTATTATTAACATTAGTTGTATCCCTGGAGTATACACAGAATAAAAGCAATTGTGGGGAGAGCAGACGATACGAGTAATCTATACACTATGCTAGTGGGTTTCAGGCTATTTTTAGTAGAAGAATTCTCTCAAACCAAAGTTTACACAGCACTATAAAATATAATGAAGATAACAGGGAATCTGCTTGTATTGAAGTAGGGTATCTGGCCTGGAGTACAAAGATGGCACATTAACTGCCCCCCCCTCCACAAACACACACACATTGCTGCTGCCATCATACTGTGATCCCCTTAATTCCAGGAGCAAGAATACAAATGGAAAACCAGCAAATAAAACCAGTTCAGTGTTGATAAGCAAGAGTTCCATGTACTTTAATGATTAAAACCAATCCCCACTTTTTTTTTAAAAAACTTGCATATTATTCATAAAAAATAAGAACTATCCTCTCAGATGAAATTATGCCTTACCCTAGAAACACATAATTTGTCCACACAAATTAGCAAATATGTTTTCAGAAACACACCAGACCTAATTTTCCCAAATAAGTATCTTCATTCAAAGAAGCTGCCCTGGAAATAATAGAGTCCAACATTTATTGAACACTTACTATGTACCAGACACTCTTCCAAATTCTTTCTGTAGATGAGCATTTTAAATTCTTATTATAACTCTATGAAGTAGAAAATATAATTATCTACATTGTAAGGCAAGAAAACTTAATCAAAGAGACTAAG